GCTTCATTCTAAACACTTTACACAGCTGCTGTAATTTTTTTCTTTTTGGTTTTGGGGCCACACCCAGCGATTGTCAGGGGTTACTCCTGTATCTGCACTCAGGAATTATTCCTGGCAATGCTTTAGGAACTATAGAGGATGGCAGGGATCGAACCAGGGTCAGCTGCTTGCAAGGCAAGCATCTTACCCGATGTACTATCTCTCCAGGCCCAACAGCTGCAGTAATTCTGCAGACTGAGTTTCAGTCTTCTTAGGGAAAAGAATATTCTAGAGGTGGGTCGCAAAAGGTCTCATTAATGAATGCCAGTATTTAGAGAACATTCTCTATGTTAGTCACAGTATCTCTATGAAAAACAGTTCAGAATGTTCTCTGCCTGCCATAAAGAAAATCATAAGAGGCATAAGACAGGATCTAAATGATGCCATTTAAAGTTACTTTGCTGTTAATAAGAACAAAAATTTTTGATAGGGAAGAGAAAAAATAGTTCATTGTTAAGACTTCAAAGATGACTGATATTAAGAACTCGTGTTACGACCATGTGCTAAATGATTCACACATTTATTTTGTATGCTACTGACATCAGTTTCATTAGACACGTATCATCAAACTGTTAGAGATGAACTGAGGCTCACCCTTCATTCATCCATTTATTCTTTCAGTAAATATTCTGGAGCCTGTTAGAAACGTTAAGCCCTATTACCGACTGTAATCAGAATATGCATCTGTATGTCTAAGCTCTGCAGCAGATATTGTAGTGGAGGCCATCGTCTATTCTTTACATATAAAAATTATTACTTTCTTAGCCCGTCAATGTGTTTTGTTTTCCGTTCTTCCTGCCTGAGCAGCATATGGAATTGTGACCACGTAGTGTGCAAAAACAATGATGAGCATCGTGCGTGCACCCCACTGCCGTCAACCCTGGCCCCTGGACTCTGGGGACCGCTGAGGCGGGGACTCTCGAGAAGTCGGAGTGGGGTTCCCTACCCTAGGAAACGCCGGGGAGTCTGGGAAGCAGGGGCCAGACTGTCTGCACCAGGCTGTCCCCTACTAGCTCAGGCCACCAGAGGCCAGCACAGAGCCCCCCTCTTCCAACAGGGCACTCTTGTCCCAAAGGAGAACTGCGCAGAGCAGGGCTCTGCTGCCTGGCCTCAGAGGGTCCCTGGCCCTCTGGGCGGTCCACTGTCCTTGCTGTTCAGCGCGGGGCCGGACCTCTGGCCCAGGCCAGGTCCGGGCCGGGTGAACACTGCAGGGAGCACCAACCCTCCCCTCCCCTCTGTGTCCTGCTACCCTGGGGCGGAGAATTCGAGAAGTGGGGGCAGAGGCAAGTCCTGCGATGCTCCAGTCCCTGCTCCTCTGGGCACTGCCTCAGTTGCCAGACCCTGTTTGCAGGGCATGGCCAGTTCGTCGGGGGTCACTCTCCGAGCTGCGCAGATGGTAGAAGAAGCGTGAGTGGCACGGGGACAGGGGGACAGCGGGGGACAGCAGAGACTGCACCCTGCCGTGTTGTGCCCACGCCCAGCAGCTCCTTGTCCGGCGAGGAAGGCAGGCGAGTCCTCTGTTCGGGTGGTGCGCCAGGCCCAGCCCGCCCAAGTCAGCGGGTCCTCGAAAGCCCGAGGACCCTTCAGCAGCCATCCTGTTCCTCAATCCTCGGTTTTAGCTAGCGGATGTACTGCAACGTGTCCGGGAGGTTCATCCAGCTCTGGATGTGGCCTCCTCCCTCTGGATGCCCACCTCGGCCTCGCGCCGGCGCAGCAGGGTCACTGCCGCCAAGTGGTCCACCTGCCGCAGCCGCGCGGCCTTCACGTCCCGGTGGCCCTCAAAGTCGAACTCTGGCTCGCAGTGGCTCTCGCTTGGTATCGTTTGCAGGTCTGTGCACGGCGCTTCTAGGGACCGCAACGTCCCCTGAAGTGCCCACGCTCCGCTCCATGCGTTTGAGCAAGCGGATGTGGTCCAGCGCTTCCTGCTCCTCCATGCGCTGCTGCGGCTCGCGGTCCTTGGCCAAGGCCTGGGCCTTGCTTGCATCACCCCCACCACAAGCTTCTGCAGAGACCCCTGCCAGGGCCAGGTACACCTGCCAGGTGTCTGGGAGTTCCCGCAGTTGGAGCTTCAGCCCCTAAGCCACTGCCACATCCTCCCGTATAGCAATTCTGCTGCTGGGCCTCGTTGCTCTCGTCCTGCAGAGCCCAGGAAAGGGTCGGGAAGTGGGCAGAGGTCCGGGCAGCTGTCTTGCCCCTCGGAGACCCCCACGCTTCTCTGGGTGCCACCCTGGATCTCTCTGAAAGGCCTGGAGGTGGGGGGGGTGGAGCTGGCCCATAGGAAGCACCCACCTAGGCGCCCCCACCGGAGGTTCTGTTTGCATTCTGGTGTCACCTAGTGCAAGGACTCCGGTGTCATTCTAATGTCCTGGGCCAGCTACCTATCTCTGCAGAGCAGAGCAGAGCAGAGCAGGCTCCGTAAATGTTACCGGAAGTGGCGTCAGGCCACACGGAAAAATTATTAAGGTAGGAGCTAGGGATGTATGAGTCCCTGGGTTCAATTCCTGCTCAAAAAAAATCTTGTTAACATAAAATAATAATTTAAAAGTTTATTTACTATTTTAGAAGGTTAATTTTTATTAATGTAAAAAATATAATGAGAGGTCAGACTATTAAATACATAATAATGAAAAACGAGTGAGTTAAGGAGATAAGGATCTGGCTCAGTACTGGGGCTCTGGTGGATATTTTATTTTATTCTATTGCGAGAGGGCATTGGAAGTGCTCAATGTTGGCAGCAGCCTATAAGGCAAATGCGTGACCCCTCATGCTATTTCTGACTCCAGCTATTTTAAATAGAATTATCAAGGAAATGAAAAGGTGCCACTTGAAATACTACTCTAACGAAAAGTTGCTACTTGAACAGAGACCTGAAGGAAATGAAGGAAATGGTTATGCAAACATGCGAGGAAAACTGGTTCTAGGCAGAGGGAACCGCAGAAAATCTTGGCTACATTCAAACTTGGGTTTCTTGGAGCTCTAATTTCTCAGTCCCGGGTTATTGTTGTCAGATTGAGTCCCAAGGTCACAAAGCGAAGATTGGAGGGGACGCTTGTCTAGCCAAGTCACAGAAGACCAAGATGAGGGCCCGTGGTCCCCAAGTTGCTTCTATGGATCCTGGGAAAGAATCCCTGAGCCCACAGTGCTTCAATGATAGTCTCTTCTGAGTGTGAGGCTGAGTGAACTGTGAAAACAACAGCACTCCGGGATGGATCCTGTGACTTCCCAGCATCCCTGAATCTCTATGTTTCCTTGGCATGAAATCAGAAGACCACAGTGGGAGTCTTCTCTGACTCTTGCAAGTAATGACTAAATTTGGAAAAACATGAGTTGGGACTTTGACAAGCTGGGTTGTTGAACTCTTGGTTTCACCTTAGATCAAAGATCCAGGATTCCTATTTCCGTCCCTGTGATATACGGAGGTAGAGTTTCAGGGTCATGGAGAGTAGGGTGTAAAGACTGCCTCTGCCTCCTTTGTTTTTCTTCTATCCCTGAGAACCTGGAAAAGTGCTTAGTTTATCTGACCTTTGGGTTTCTTTATAATAGTGATGATTATCTACTTATTTATTTGGCAGGTATTCCTGGAAGTACTATGGTAGAAGGGGTTACTCCTGGCTCAGTAATTGAGGTCTCTAGGAACTGTAGTTTGAGCGCCAGGCAGTTCCACACATAACCCAGGACTTTTGCATGCAAACCACTTCAGTCCATTGAGCTATCTCCCTAGAACCCATAAAATGAAATCCTAGAGGAATAATGGGATGATTAGAGATGATTAGATTAGATGATTAGAGGTATTTATAAAGGACTTTTAACATTGTCATCTCTGATTAGAAGATATATTGGTCATAGTAGCGAGAGAGAGAGAGAGAGAGAGAGAGAGAGAGAGAGAGAGAGAGAGAGAGAGAGTACAGGGATTAAATAAAACTTGCCTTGCATGCATCTTAGCCTGGCACCACATGTTCTTTGGAGCATTGATGGGCATCAGTCTGCAGGCACTTGAGCACTGCTGGGGTACCCTGGGTATTCCCAGCACTGCAAGCTCAGAGCAGCACTGCATCATCGGACCTGAAATTTGAAGCTGTGGGATTGTCAGAGAACAGAACATGGCCAGGAGAGAGGATCCTGAGCCTCCTGATCCTGAGCACAGCTTGACCCCTCAGCACCACCCCAAAAATACACAGATGTTATCCAAACCCTTGAACTGCATAGTTTTCCCCAGTGACAAAATGAGATTATTGGCTCTTTCCTTTAGACTGTTGTGAGGATCAAATGAGATTATCTTTTGTAAGATTCTTTCTAAATTATAAACTGCAATTCAAAAAAGAGGGTCTCTTATGTAAGGTACATATGAGTGGTTTTACAGGGTGTTAGGCTTGAAGATGATATAGCACCCTGCAGTTTGTGAATTAATTCATTCATATTTTGTTCAATTCATGTATTAGGGATTTGTCTCTGATACTGAAGATTCCACGGTAAAATAACTTCAAGAACAAAAGAAACTCTATAAACATATTCATGCCTGTGTCTTTTTAAAAACTGCTCTGAAAATAGAATCCATTTTTAGAAAAGAACTCAATGCCTTGTAACTTAAGTCTTGACTTGTACTTAGGAATTTTTTTTAAGGATTTTTTTTCTTTTAAGTTTTGGGGCACATCCAGTGATGCTTGGGGATTATTCCTGGCTCTGCTTGGGATGCTGGAGCTGAATCTCAGTTGGCTGTGTGCAAGGTCAACCCACTGTACCCACTGTATTATCACTGGCCCCAGTACTTAGGATTTTTTTAAACCAGAAACCAATTTTTGCATCATGCACTGCCTTTCATTTAAAAGTATGTTATTGTAGGATACACACCTAAGTTTCGATTGAAGGTACACAATCTCTAAAGGAATTTACTTCTGCTTAATTTCGTCTGTGCTCACCTGTCACTGATATTATGACACTAATAATTGCTCTCTCTCCCACAGAAGGTTAGTGTGCGGGCCGAATGCTATTGAGGTGGAAATCCAGCCCATCTGGAAGCTTCTGGTTAAACAGGTAACTGTCAACTTTGGCATTTGGTTCTCTTAGCTTTTGTTTTACTTCCGTTTTTTTTTTTTTTGTGGTCACAATTGTCAGTGCTCAGAGACCACTCCAGGATTTGGGCATTGCTAGAGGGCGATGAGGTACTAAGGATCAAGCAAGGCTTTTTGCAGCCCTGTGTACATAGCATGCACTTCGGCTGTTGAGCTATTGCTCTAGCTTCTCTTCCTTTATTTTCAGTGTCCAAGTACTCAGGGATCTTAAGCAACATATGGATAGGCTGCAATAAACAAAGTAGGTGTTTCATGCAACTTACATTTGTTGTTTATCTTTTGGCTTTAGTCCATCTGTTTTGAGGAGAAAATGGGCAGCTTGAGATATACCCAGCAGTGCTCAGGGCTTATTCTTGGCTCTGTGCTCAAGGATCACTCCTGGTAGTGCTTAGGGACCATATGTGGTGCTGGGGATGAAAGCCAGGTGGTCTGTAGGCAAAGCAAACACCTTAATCTCTGTATTATCTCTATAATCCCCCAGTTTTCTCTTTTTAAATGACTGGGCTTCTTCTAATGAAAAGGAAGTCAGTGAGCACTGTGTTAGAAAACGGAAAGGATCACAGTGCTGTACTTCCTGGCTACTGGGCTCTCACAGATTTTTAGTTGCAGTGCTCACTGAGGATGTATGTGGTTCAAACACACACCTGACTGTGGTGCAGCTGGAAATCATTTTTGGTACCAGGGATCACAAACAGTACAGTTGTCAAGGCCAGAGAGTGGGTGGACAGTGGATAGGGCACTTGCCTGCCTTGCGCACAGTCAACCTAGACTCAATCCCAGCTCCCCATGAGGTCCCCAGAGCGCCAATAGCAGAGACTTAGAAGTAATCTTTGAGCACCTCTGGATGTGACCCCCAACCTCCAAATAAGCAAACAAAAATGCCAAACTCTTTGTGTTAGACACATGTGGGGTACCAGAGATTTCAATTTGTGACAATTCACTTGCTAGACAAGTGCTCTAGGCCACCATATTATTCCCCTAGTTTCTAACTGATCACGATCATCCTGTTGTTCATCGATTTCCTCGAGCAGGCACCAGTAACGTCTCCTTCTTCCTAGCCCTTAGATTTTAAAAGAGCCATTTCAATGCTCTTTCAGGATTAGGAGAATGAGACCCATCATTGTTATTGGTATTTGGCATATTGAGTACGACACGGGAAGTTTGCCAAACTCTGCCGTGTGGGCAGGATACTTTTGGTAGCCTGCCAAGTTCTCCAAAGGAAATATAAGATAATAAGATGTTGCGCGGCCGCAAATGTGGGTGGAGAAGGCCCAGTCCCAATCCAAGCAGGCTTGGATATCTCAGCCCCGGGACCCGCATGCCTGGGTTCCTCTGCCAGTTCTTTCATGCATGAGGCCCGTTCAGACATGTGGAGAATGGTCCCTGCATGGCGGTGGCTGGCTCCGGAGGTCCTCAGCTGCTGGGGCTTTGCTCGGGGTGGGGGGAGGGAGAGAAACTCAACCCTCCCCCCTCAAAGGGGCCCCAGTGAGAATAGCCAGGTGCCGGGCCAGGAGACTCTGAGGCTCTAGTTTCTAACCACTTTTTTGAAATTCAAATTCATTGAATTTAATTTAGTGCATGTGTTGCCAGAGATCCAATCCAGAACTTATGCATGTAAGGCAGATCTAGAGCACCACTCTTCTCCTGAGCCACACTGCCAACCCTACAAATACACTTAATATTATTTAATTTTAAATTTTTAATTGAATCATTATGAGATACACAGGTACAAAGTTGTTCATAATTTGGTTTCAGTCTTTCAGTGTTCCAGCACCTGTCCCTTGACCAGTCAAACATATTTTAAAAGTCCCTTCCAGTGGTCAGGCTCCTGTTTCAAAATCTATTGAAGTTTTTGGGTACAGTTGCAATGATGAAGATCAGATGATGTTATTACTTCTATGATCTTGGAGGGTTTTAATCTTTCTTTCACATTGATTATTTTCATCTTCTTTCTTTTCATCTTTGCTCTTGATTTTTTTTTTAAAAGAAGACTTTTTGTGTGTGCTTTGAAGCAGTTACAACTGTTATTTAGGGTGAGAGCACTTTTACTAAGACGTTCCCCTAGTTCTGTTTTACTCTGTGCTTACCTTCCCTTCTGGATGGCTCTGCACCTGCCCCTAAGGCCCAGATCAGAACTGGAGTCTCAACTGGAGATTGGGACCAACCCAAATACAGGCTGGGCCAAGGTTATGGCTACACTGGGAATTCTTTTCTACATTATTTATTTCTTTTTACTTTTTGTTTTTGGACCACACCTGACTATGCCTGGGGTGATTCCTGATTCTGCACTCAGGAATCGCTCCTACAGGTGCTCAGAGTACCATATGTGGTATTGAGTATCGAACCTAGGCCAGTAGTGTGCAAGGCAAATAAACACTTTACCTAGTCTCTCCAACCTGATTATTTTCTCTTTTCTCCTTCTTTCTACGCTTACTGCTGATGACTCAGTGCCTACTGTGACTTTTATCTATCTCTGCCATAAGGTAGAAGAAATCTACTGGTACCACTGGTTTTCTCTGCCAATCTGTGTTTTGTTCCCTGTTGCTTGTGGGGCACTTTGTCTTCTTCCCTGTAGAACTGGACTCCCAATCACTTAGAATGCTTGTCTGGAATCAAGTAGGCTGATCCTGTCAATACCTACTCAACACTGTATGGTACCATACTGTTTCTAGTTTCAAAGATAGCTATTTTGCTTTTCAGTATAATTGGAAGCATTTTTATAGGGCTCTTTTTAAAGTACCTTCTTAAATCCACAATAAAATTGAAAAGAACATCCTAAGATTTCTCAATACCTTCTGCTCCCCTATGCCTCCCTCTCTATTCAAAGACTGGTTGCTTTTAAAACTTCTTATTCAAGTAAATTTTCAAATTTTCATGAGGTATCCCGGGTATAAATACACTTTAGTCTGAAAGGAGTGCTAGTCTCTTTCTGTCCATTTCCCAAGTAAGAACTAGAAGTCTAGAGTTCAAAGACTTACCATCCATTCCAAACTGCTAGTTTACACATGGAAACTGAGGACACAGAGATTATGACTAATAACAATGTCTTTCACTATGGGAAGATCCGGGACAGAACTTGATCATAGGATCTCTGGTTCAATACCCATAGTATTCTATTATACAGATTATTGCGTGATAACTACACAGGATACTTTATCCAGAAGACAACAGAGAAGCCATGGATTGGGTATAGTGAGCTGAGGTCTCTTCTGCTCTCATTCCTGACCTGACCTCAGAAGTGTACCTTGAAGGAAACTCCTTGGAGAATATGAGTCTGGAAGCTTTGCTGCATCTATTTAATGACACCATGATGAGAACAGGAATAATTCCAGATATTACACTCATTTTGACAAGATAATAACATCTGTTTTGATGTGCTGGTATTTTTCAGGCATCTGTTTACCAGGCATTTAATAGAAAAAAGTGCATGTAAAAACTACATTACATTTGATTTCAAAAGAATATGAGGAAGCTAAATATTAATGAAGGTGATGATTCTTCTACAAGTATTTAATTGATTTTCTACTGAGTTTATGTAGACTCAAAATTGTTTTATCATTGGTGCATAATCTATAATTAGAACATTTTATGCCAAGTAGACAAAAGAGCTATAATTGTAAGAAAAAGATGTTGCAATAGAAATAATTGGCAACACTAAATAACAAAATGCTTTTTAGTGTACAAAGTAAGCCAAGAATTTCTGAAACTCTTAAAACATATATACAGATTAACTCACTATCAGAAGACAATTCAATTTTAGGGTTGATGTAGAAGTTTACTTGCTGTATTAGAGAATTAGAGCTAATACAGGTATGAGAAAATGGCACTGATTTTTTAGCTAATAAAATCAGTACCATTCTCTTATTATTTATCTTACAATATCTTTTCTAATTCACATGATCTATGCCAAGTGACCTTTGCTAGTCCCTGAATTTGCCTTGTTTGCTATTATGATCAATAGTGGAGTCAGCAGGATAAAAATTAGAAACTGAGCAAATAAAAGAGTTGAAGGTACTATCTAGGGGCCAAGAACACTTGCATGAATGACCCAATTAGAGGCTTGTGATACGTTTTGCTCATGATTTTCACTGTAGGTCTAGGTAAGATGTTTTCTCCATCTCTCCTTGTTCAAAACTTGTATTCATCTGCTGGTGCTCATAAATTCTTGCTAAGTTCTGTCACATAAAGATAAGTTGTTTCAGAATGACATACAAAGGGCTGAAGAAATGGTACAGTAGGTACATTTCTTCCCTTGCACATTGACATCTCAATATAATCCCTGACATGCCACATGGTCCCCCAACATTGCCAGGAGCAGTTATCCTTGAGAGCAGAGCCATGAGTAAGCCCTAGGCACAGCTGGGAGTGCCACCCCCTAAAAAAAATGAACAGAAACCAAAAAGAAACTAAAACAAAAAATAATAAAACGATGTACATAAGATTATCTCACCCACATGGCAAAGCCTGGCAAGCTCCCCATGACGTATTTGATATGCCAAACACAGCAACAACAAGTCTCACAATGGAGACTTTACTGGGCCTGCTTGAGCAAATCAATGAAGAACAGGAAGACAAAGCTACAGTGCTACATAAGACTAGAGTCATTGGGGCTGGAGCGATAGCACAGCGGGTAGGGTGTTTGCCTTGCACGCAGCCGACCCGGGTTCGATTCCCAGCATCCCATATGGTCCCCCAAGCACCGCCAGGAGTAATTCCTGAGTGCATGAGCCAGGAATAACCCCTGTGCATCGCCGGGTGTGACCCAAAAAGCAAATAAATAAATAAATAAATAAATAAATAAATAAATAGAATTCTCTACTCTTAGTAGCGAATAAAAAAAAAAAGAGTAGAGTCATTGATTGTCATTGCACCCTTGACTAACTACAGTGTGTGATTAGTTGATAAAGAAACCTGCAATAGAGACTGAGTCATATTTCTCCTCTTTTAAAATGTAAGTGTCCATTATTTCTTTTAACTGATTAAATATTTTGAGGGTGATGTGTGGACCATACCTGGTGGTGTTCAGGGCTTATTCCTGGCTCTGTGATGAGGGATCACTCTCAGCAGTGCTTCATGAACCATATGCAGTATCTGGGATCAGATTTGGGTTAGTATTATCTCTCTGGTCTAGTTAAAACAATTTTGGGGGGGGGAAGCTTTATTCTTGTGTCATGGTCATGGTCACGGTCCTCCCGTTGTTCATTGATTTGCTCCAGTGGGCCCAGTAACGTCTCCATTGTGAGACTTGCTGTTACTGTGTTTGGCATATGGAATATGTCACGGGGAGCTTGCCAGGCTTTGCTGTGCAGGAGAGATACTCTCAGAAGTTTGCCGGGCTCTCCGAGAGGGGCAGAGGAATCAAACTCGGGTCGGCCATGTCAGCTGCATGCAAGGCAAATGCCCTACACGCTGTGCTATTGCTCTAGCTCATTCTTGTGTAATTTTTGAAATTTATTTATATACCGTGATTTATAAAATTGTTCCTTAAACAGATGTTTTAGGCATTTAGTGTTGCAATCTCAATCCTATCACTAGTGTGATCTTCCCTTTACCAATGTCCTTTGTTTCTCACTCACCCTCGAAGCCTGTCCCCTTAGGAAGCACAAAATAGTTTGCTTCATCTTTCTTGTTACAACAAACACTAAATAATAGAATCACTCTTGCATTAATAATTTCCTTGGAGGTGGGGGTTGTTGCTAGAATAGACATAGTAGCACCGGTTTCCTGGCTCTCTGAGGCTTAGCTAGTAAAATGTTTTTGAAAATTTCAATAGATGAGAGTGGTCAATGTGTGAGAATGCCTTTGAATACTTGAAATGATTTTGTTTTTACCGAATCACTTTCTGTGTGCTTGACATCAAAATTAATGAAATGCTAAGTGAATTATTAAGTATTAGTGGAGTTTGTATGTTATAATAAATGGAGGCAACTTACATAAAGAATTGATATCATTGACCTAAATCTCTGCTTTTGTACTTGCAGGTTTTAAATCCATTCTACGTATTCCAAGCCTTTACACTAACATTGTGGCTGAGTCTAGGTTACATAGAATATTCTGTGGCCATCATCATCCTGACCGTTCTGTCCATTATCTTAACTGTGTATGATTTGCGACAGGTAAGAACTGAAATTGTGATTGGATTCTATATTGCTTCTGACTTCACATGGAGCAAAATTATGAAGTGTTCATGAGAGCATAGAGTTGTTTTATTAAACATAAGCATACGAAGGCAGAAAGAAAGTGTTTACTAAATCTGGAATCTCAGGAGAGCTTTAGAAATTTAGATTTAAATATTTTTGCCAATTCTGATTATCAACTGAAGGCTTTCTTGAATACTGTATATAGAAGGACTTTGAGTTGTGCCTGAGTATGTGGGACAGAATGCTGGGATGGATTAATGGTGCCAGACATAATTTTAGAAAAATGAGAGACAGCATCCTAACCAAGAGTATTAGTCAAATCTCTTTCCATGTGCAGTGATAGAAACCCAACTTGAGCTAAATAAAGCAACTCACATAAGGAATTTCAAGGCTGATTTTAGTTTAGGCATAGATGGATCTGGTACTCAAATAATGATTAGGGAATCTGTCTCTTTCTATCTCTTCAGCCCACATTACGACATGCTTCTGAAAGTAGAGTCTATAGACTGGTCCTGGTTTGCAAATTTCTCATTTCTTTCAGTACTGCTGAATTTGAAAGTAATCATTTCTAATCTTATAGTAATTTTATATTGCCACAACTTACAAGCATGATCATCATTTAAAACAATTATAGTTACAGAAATAATGTTAACATGTGGTCTTTACTTAAAAAGACCCCCACAATATGGCAAAGATGGACATAGTAAGGCATATCTTTTCTTCAGGACTCTTGATCTCAGATGAAGAGACAAATCTTTTTACTACGATTCATGATAATCACCCCCATAAGATTTTTGTTGGACCAAATGGAAGAAAAAGTGACAGTACCAACTGCTTTTACTTGTCTCTGAACCTTCTTTGTTTGAGGCTCTATTCAGCTACGCTCCTTTATGTTGCAAGATATATTATTTTTCCTTGAACTTATATCTTGTTTCATTGTGGGTTTACTCTTTATTAGATGCTTTATCTGTTTGTTTATTTGTTTGTTTGTTTTATTCAAGCACTGTCTTAATCAGTACATGTTTTTTAGGAGTTTTATAAATATACCCAATACTTATAGAGACTCTTGGAATGTCTGTCTAGTTCTCAGGCTCCTCTGTAAGGTAAATTCTTATTCATGATATAAATTTATACTTCATCATCACTCTTCCATTGTATTTACTTCTCTTATAATCATTTCAAAAAGTATTCCTTCTCAAAATAAGGAAAGCTGTCTGATAAGTGATGCAATTGATTCTGAAATAGAATTTAGCTGAATGTGACCAATAGTTCCATGACCTCTGGCATCTCAGCTCCCCAAAATATGTTTCTCAAAAATGTTCTGCTAGTTTGCTTAAGATTCATCAGAATCATAAGACAATCCATAAACAAGGTCTCTATTATGTGCTTTATTTTTGACAATTTGACTGTAGATTTAGTGGCCTAGATATGGGGGGCAATGGTTCTTGTGTTGGCCTGTCAGCTATTGAAATGTTAAAACCATACAGTCTCAAATTCATCTAAGAGAAACTAAGACATAGGTTGTAGTGGTTAGTCACAAAAGGGGTTTGCAACAGAGTCAAGGTTTCTGGCACCTCATACAAAAAAAAAAAAAACTACTTCACATGAATGTTTTCTTAGCAGAAGATCCTTTGCAAAGTTGCTCTAGAGCCAGCATAGAAAGTCAGACAGAAGTCAAACATAGGACATAGGAAAGAAAGGCAGTATGGATTACAGCTGAAGGCAGAGAAAACTCTGACCCTGAATTCGTCTGTCCATGTGGGAACTATCCTCACTGAAAGAGACCTTTTATTCTAACTCCATTTCAGTCACTCAACAAATATTCTGTCTTACTGACTTTGTATCTACTTTATCAGCTTATAAATTTGAGTTATGAACTGTTTGATGAAATATGAAAGAAAGGTAGCACGTATTTCTTGAATTAGAAAACAGGGCCTAAAAATGAATGGTTAAACAAAGACACTTGGGCTGCTGAGTGACTGACAAAAGAATTCGTTTTTGTTTTATTTTTGAATGAATGATTGAGTCTCTTTTTTTCCAAAACTAATTTAAATTACAAAAAAATAATAACCACTAATATTCCTTTGATGGCATTAAATGCATTCTTTTGGTGTCAGATTCATTCTATACAGTTGCAAAGTTATGGAGAAGAGTGACTGTCCTTCTGGTGAACTCTCTGTACCTGTGTAGGAGAGAGGAGGTGATAGAGACAGAATCCAAGGCCTCACACACGCAAGGCAATGCGCTCCTGTTGAGCTTTACCTCCTACTTTCATTGAACTCTGGGCACATGAGCAAAACTATGAATGCAGACACAATAACAGATCAGACACAATTCTGCTCAGTCACAGCAGGAAACAAATTGTAGTTTTCTACCAGTGTCATGTAATAAAGGTGTGTTATGTGAAGAACCCAAATAGAATTTCTAGTTTCTGGTTTTGGAAAGAAACTTTGCTGTAATGGGATATCTAATTTGATAACTGAATGCCACCCATGATTTCGGACTTAACTTTAGGTTTTATAAAACATCTCTGCATCTTCATAAATCCCCATCTTCTGCTTAAATTAGCTTGCTGAGATTCTGTCACCTGCAATCAGAGTCCCAAGAAGATGTGGGCTTAGTATTTATTGATGTTATGCTTCCTACATGGTTCCCACATATTTTCCTTGACTTACATTCTATCTCTGTTCTGTACGTTTTCCTTTATATGTTTATGACAAGTTTCAGTCTCTCTCTTAAAATTTATTTACAATGTCTGCTTCTTCAATTAGGACTCAGGTAGACTTTTTATTAAGAAATCTAAAAGAAACAGAAATTCTGCCTAGAAGTTAGAAGAAAGCTTGTAGGATAAAAATAGGTTTATATTGATATTCTGTACATCAATATTTTAGTAAGAGAATTTATTTGACATTTTTGAGCAACTGAATAAAAATACCCAGGGTAATGTAAGGCATCTGTACATTTAACAATTTTATAACTGATCATTGTTATGCATTCTGAAGGTTTAAGAGCTAATTGTTACAGGGAATTTCACCAAAGCACAAATTCAAGTGTTAAAATCCCAAATACATTTATTAATGTCATCATTTATTGAGAATATTTTTAATAATTTTACTCTACTAGATGCACAAACATTTACAAGTTTACCTTGAGATTTATTTATATATTCATTAATTTATATTATTAAAATAGGATATTACTAGATATGATAATCTGGAACTTGCATCTTCATGATGCATAAATAATGCTCACCCACCAAGCAAACAAATAATTCCAAATCATGTCTAAAATTGATGTAATATTCTTTGGTAAACCATAATGAATTTAGTCATTCTTATTTATGGACAATAAGAGAATATTAAAAAGAAATGCTAAATATCAAATATTAAGCAGAAAATAATATATCTTCAATATAACAGCTAACATTGAGTTGAACAGAAACTATAATATGTATTTCCTTATATACTAGTATATTTATTTCTGTAAAGCAACCTAAAGATGGGTCCTGAAACAAAGAATGTTATTTTGGGAGATGATAGATACTACAAAGTTATATTTTCTAAATGGAATAATCCTTTCCCCCATCAGGAACATACAACAGAATCTATTTCCCCAGATATCCTAAGCAGTGTTTAGTGTTATATATATTGATATTTAAAATATTTTCCGCCTAACACATTTTCAAGTTTATTTGTTTTGCTTTGGTATAGGGATAGTTTTTCTTGGGGGGTGTGGGGCACAAGAGAGCTCAGACATGTGGGGTTGGGGATTGAATTTAGTGCTTCATGCATATGCTTGCTTTATCTCCCCTGCCCCTAATGCATCTTTTTACAAATTTGTCTCTTTGATGCTTTAATAACCATTTTTCCAATTGCTAGTGAGATTAGACTCATTATATTCTCCCCATAGAGATTTGCATGTTTATCATATTTGTGAGAAATTTTAATTTTAATATTGACTTTATTTTTAATATAAAATTGAATGTGGCCAAATAATTTTTTTATGATTTCTGGGGTTCTTGTTTTGTTTATAAAGGTCTTTTCAGGGCCAGAGAAATAGTGCAGTAGGCAAGGTGTTTACCTTACATGTGGCTAATCCAGGTTTGATCTCTGGCACCATTTATGGCCTCCTGAGTCCTTCCAGTAGTGACTGATCCCTGAGCACAGAGCCAGGAGTAATCCCTGAAAACAGCCAGATGTAGACCCACCCAACAAAGGTCTCCTCCACCAAAATTCAATGTCTTCTATTTGTAATTTGCTAAATATTGAGTTTTTAAACCTTAATGAGATTTAAATATACAAGCTAATTCTAACAGAATCCTAAATGCTTTTGCTCAAGGTTGTGACTGATTTGGAGCTTTAGACTTCTGCAGTTCTGGAAAAGATTATTTAAAGAAGAGAATAGAAAAGAAAAGAAAAAATGAAAGGAAGGAAAAGAAAGCAGAGCATAGACACTAATCCAATTAGCAGATAGAACTGATGCATAAAAAAGCTTATCCTAGCAAACCTGTCTGGCATCTTGTGCACAGGCTACACAATAGGCCAATTTCCCGAAACTCTATCTTGTTTTTAGTTGCAAGTGCTCAATAATCCAAATGAATTAGCACTGTACAATGTTCAATGTGCTCCCACATCTTTAAATCTTGTGCTTGTGGGGTGTGGCAAACTGTAAAACAATCCACGTGTGATTGTTACATGAGGCAGGGTGAGAAGGTGGGAGGGAGATAAAGTGACACACCCATGTTCAGTAACAGTAGGTGTGGACATCAGTACCATATTTTTTTGACTCTGAGTCAAAGCTTTAGTCTCCAAGGATTCTGTAGTAGTAAATGATTAGTGGTATTTATTATCGTCTTTATTATCTCTAACAAAAAAGCAGATGGGGAAAGGCTGTTTGTAGGAAAGGAGGAGCATCCACTATCAGGTCTAAATCGTTTTATTGAGCAGCATTGAAGAGCACCATTTCACTGACTTATAAAGACTTAGCTAAACAAATACCTGCTTTGGAAAATGATAACAAGGGAGGTGTTGGCAGAATTGGTATAAAATATTTTGTCATGTACCCTAGCCCTAAATCATGCCATATGGAGAGAGACATCACCTTACCTTATGTAAGCTAAGAAGCACTGCATAAGTCTTTTCTTACAAGATTGGGGAAGGTGTGAGTGCAAAGCTGGACACTGAGCTGGATTTACACTGATCTATGTCACAGACTCTACCACTGACTTTGTGGTCAGTGGCTGGTGGTAGCACTGGGGGTATCCAGTGCTTAGTTTTCAGTTGTGATTGAGTCAGGCTACAGAGACACCTGTGTTAATGCTCCCATTACTCATCCCTGGAGAAAATACAGCCACAACAGACACAAGGACAGAGTAACAGATGCTGATTAATAACCATATGTAAATTTGCCTTGGAAACTGATCCTGGACCCACTGAACAGGGACTGCAGAAACCAGAGGGTGCCTAATGAAACTCAGTATTGAGCTTCAAAATCATGGCAAGCATCACAGCTTGCCTTGGCTCTCTCCAAGCTGGTTGGTTGTCATAGAAACCCAAGCTAGTAGAGTAGATTCAGAGTAGATTCCCTTAAAGAGAATGCTCACATTCTCTTACTCCAGGCTGTTGGGGGGAAGTAGAATAATTCAGTTCTGTTATATAAATATTTGCCAAGGGCCTACTGTGTGATAAACTCTGAGGGAGACATAGATGTATATTGGGTCCCTTTCATCTTCAAACTGCCTCTCTCAGGGGAAACCTGATGAGAAGACAGACAGCTATAATATAATGTGATTAAGACGATCAGGATGCTAGCGAACATAGGCAAATTCAAAGCGAGCAGAACAGTTTATCCTGGTAGGGAGATACTGGGGGCTTATTAAGTGCAGGTCACATTTAAACAGGACTTTATATGAAGGATTAGAAAGAGTTTGTGACTAGGAAACAGGGTGGATAGTCTAGGGACTTGTAAAGGATGATTGGAAGGTGGTAGGTTATCTAGAATGCTAAATTCAGTCAACAATCCCACTTTATGCCTTAAGGTATTTTGAGAATTACAGCCAAACATTATTAATTCACACATTACTTCTTGCAAATGTATTCAGTATCATCCACTTAAGTTGAAATTATCATGGCAATGACTGAAAGAGTTCACTAAGCAAGAAAAAAAATTATATGGAAGGCTGCTTAACGTTCATCTTACTAACAGGGAAAAAAGCTATTTGCAAGTACTTTAGGAGAACATATTCATCAAGAGAAAAGACTTTAGAATCAGGCAAACCTGTATTTGATTGCTAAGTTTAATATTTAGTAAGTAAAAGATTGTGGGTAAGTTTTTTTAACATTCCAAGCCCCCATTTGCTATTTATTTGGTTTTGTTGTTAATGTGGACATTGAGGATAATATTTTTATCAAAGGATTGTTATTTTTAAAAGCTTTACTCTAGGTTCCTTGGCCCCAGAGTATAGGGAGAAGAAGGAAGGAAACAGAGTGAAGAAGAAGGGGAGAAGAGATAGATGAGAAGCCATGGGGGCAGGGGCCAAGGGCACTCAGGTACAGCAGTTTAAAAATGACAGAGCTCAATCTCAACCAGAGTTAACAATACTGAAATCACAAGAACTAAATGTTAATAATCAGATTCAAAGGTGCTTTTATGGTGGCAAATTGAGGCTGGAGTGGGGTAGTGGGATAGAAGAGGGAATCTGGCAACATGGTGGAGGGAAGTTGCCACTGGTGGCCAGATTGGTGATGGGACATTGTATGTCAAAAACCAAATTATGAATAACTTTGCAATCCAGGGTGATTTAATAAAATAAAAATTTGGAACCAGAATGATAGTACATGGGGTAGGTGTTTGCCTTGCACAATCCCTGCCATCCTGTATGGTCCTCTGAGTTCAACCAGGAATAACTCCTGAGTGAAGAGTCGGGGGCGACCCTTGAGCATCACTGGGTGTGGCCCCCAAACAAAAAAATAAAAAATAAAATAAAATAAAAAATATTGAAAAAAATCCAGCATGACTTATAAAGCTCTTAACAGTACAGTTTCAGGTATACTGTTCCACTCTAAATCTATCAGCACCTCTCCACCAATGGCCCAAATTATTTCTCTCTCTCTCTCTCTCTCTCTCTCTCTCTCTCTCTCTCTCTCTCTCCCCCCCCCCCTCTCTCTCTCTTTCTCCCCACTCCACCTTTCACTTTTCGCAAAATAATTTTTTAAAAATCTTGATTGTTATAGTATGGGTGAGATGCTTATAATAATGTTGACTCATGTTTTGATGTTACTTATCACAACTTCAACAAAGTGTCGAATATACTACCTAATGTTACCCCAGTCCATCTCCTCATCATTCCCGCAACTACCCCTTCCCTGAGATTCTCATTTCTCTGGTCCAGGACCAAGGGTTTGACATCACTTTTTAATTTCCCATTTCCTTGTCTTGTTTCTCCATGTACTGCAGGTAAGTGAGAACATCCAGTATTTGTCCTCTCCCCTCTGCCTTACTTCATTTAACATGGTACTCTTCAATTTCATCCAAGGTGTCACAAATTGTATGATTTCATCTTCAAGGGATTATTCTGAGGATGGAAAACCATTTTCTGTATCTTAGAAACATACAACATATGTGACATAGTAGAAGCTTACAGTTGTATTTTTTTTTCCTGAAAGTGATCCTCTGGGTCATTTCCACACCTTGGATATGTCTTCTACAAAGGTTAGGACTTTTTCTTTTATATAAATGAGATGTAAAATAATCAATAGTATACACTTTAGAACATAAAGGAAAATTGAAATGAATCAACTCAATTTCAGCTATTTACAGAAAAAACAGCTAATTTACAAGATCATTTCAAAAATGCAAGTACTGGGTTAGTCAGTGAGTAAGTTTGACATACAGTTTGGTGTTTCTGCCACAGAACCAGGGATGATTTATCAGTTCTTAACACAGTTGCTCCAATAGGCATATGTCAGTATTTCAGGAAGTCAAGTTAGCACTTCCTGAGCAACAAATACCTCCCCAGACATAATATGACTTCATCTTCCACTCAATTGACCCAAGTGATTGAAGTTTAGCTTTTCATGCAAAATTCAAGTAAATAATAAGTTGTTCTATATAAATATGCATGTAGAATATATTGTGTTCTCTCGAGAGGAAAGTTGGATGATTATATGCAATACTGAGCTTGGTGACACTTGTAACATCAAACATCATCAATAGAACAGATACAAATAATTTATTCTAACATCTAAAAGAAAAAGTTTTATATTCAAATTAAATTCAGCTGTATTCTAGTGCTGTTGACGGTATTCGGATCTCTTCCTCTTTCTCAGATAGCTGACATCCATTCAGAGAGCTGTCATTGTCCTGGGATCTTTAGGTGGTCTGATGGAGCTCCCTCAGCTGATGTGCCCTAATAGTCCTTATGGGGAACTGTGTGGGTAACATCCTCTTTCACTTCTTCCTTCCTTTCCCTGGAGTTATTCTAGGAGATGCTGTTTCCACTTCTTCAGACTACTTCCGTGCCCTAACTTTTGCACAATTAATTCTCTTAGTTCTGTATATGCTATGATATTAATTCTATTAATATATTTAGTTAATTCTACCTCCAGAGAATTTTCTCAACTAAACTCAGTTGATTTTACAACGACAAGTTTCTTATTCATCACTCATACTCCTTGAGCTATTACTATAGTCATGAGTATTATACAATGGAATGTATATGATAAGTGTTAACCAATCTAAAGAAACTTTAAAATGGATACCAATACTATCTCCATTTTCCGATGAGAAAAAGGGACTTAGACTTGTCAGGCTAGTAGCTGAACAGAGAAGTAAGATTCTGATCTGAAAGTTTATCCAATGTAAAACTCACCAGTTCATAAAGTATGGCTACTCTACATGTAATCAAGACACAGTTTAAATATTCACAATTTCTTATAATAGGAAATCATTTGCAGATCAAATTCAGCTCTGTTGTTTTACAGAGAAACAGAGAAGGCAAAGTGGGAAGTAAATTGTTCCTAGTCTCCTTCCCCAGATTAATGGGTTATCCTCAGTTTCTTAGCTTTATACACCATGTTTGGGTACTGTTTATCTTGGAATTCAAGAATCATTAAATAAAAGAGTGGATTTCCTAATGAAAGTAAGGGTTTGAGTGAGATAAGGACTGAGGTAGAGAAGCAGGAGTGTCAAAATTAGAACTTGAATCCGTCTGGAGTTGTTTTGGCTTTGAAAGTAGATATAGCATGTACTGCATTGACATGGTGATTTTCAGGCTATGGAACATCTAATATTTAAATGTTGGCTTTAACTTGGTAGCAATCAGTTAAGCTGCACAAACTGGTGGAGGATCACAACAAAGTCCAGGTTGCAATCACTGTTAAAGGCAAAGGTAAGTGATATATTCTGCTATCCTTAGCATTCTAGTATTCCAGGGTGGAATCATCTTTTTTTAGTCAAGAAAAAATGGAATTTTCTCATGAACTTGGGGCTGGGAATAATGTGAATCCAAAGAATAAAAGAACATAGAAAAAGAAATAAAAAACCATAAGGTGTAAAATAAATTACTTTGGGCCTGCTGCTGGAGCAGACTTGAGTGGTGGTTGGAAAAAATTGGAAATTAAGGTGGTGGGAAGGTGCAGTGGTGGTGGGATTGGTATAGCCACAAATAATTTAGGAGGTAAAAGCTTGCAAATGTTGACAATGCTGACCTACCTCTGCAGTACCCTGATAATAAGTGCCTGTGTACTATTTCTCACGCCTCATCCACATGCCAGTCCTGGCTTCTACCCAATAGCTCAGTTACATCACATTTCATCAGCTTACCTTATATCACTCATTTGGTTATTATCCCCTACACATTTCATTTTTTGACCTCCCCCAACTAATCATACCAATCAGTCCCTGCAACACACATTTTGTTCTGTTCATTTGTAACCCAGGTCTGAGAACGTAGTAAATGGCTGGTTGGACAGAGGCTTGTCATTTGCTTTTAATTAGCCTGGGATAGGAGAATGGCCATGACTTTGTGCAGCAGAAGCTGTCTGGGTGGTTTACCCTACATTTGACTACAAGGGCAATGTGCCACAGAGGATCAGAAATCCAGCCAAGAAGAGCAAAGGCACATTTCATCATTGATCAATTACCTTGAATAACTTCTAGGGCCAAAGCACTGTCACAAGTACCAGGAAGAAGATGAGATCTTGTTGCCGAGTGAATAGATTGTTATGGTCTAGGAATCAATACCCTCATTTTGGTTCTCTGGGAAATGGTACTTAAGAGGATCAGGTCTGGAGCAGGTGAATGAACATGCAGGGTAGTTCTCGGCCAATAGGTTGATAAAGGGTTCTCAGCCACTTTTATTCTTTTTTTAAACTAAAATGTTTTTATAAAGCTGTTCATGCTGATTTATTACACTCAATATTCCAACACCAACCCCACCACCATTGCACCTTCTACCACCATTATTTCCAATATTTTCTAACCATCAATAGCAGGCCCAAAATAATTCATTTTATATTACTACTTATGAACAATTCACTAAAAAGTGGTCAGAAAAAGGTTTGCTTAGAAGAACATGTGTGAAGATTGTTGTCTCTCATCCTGGAACCATTAAGCCCTTGTATAAAAGATTACTAACATGTTATTACAGGTTAAGCCTTGTGTGTTAATATTTTCTTAATTGAGATTGGTTATCTTCTATTTTACACCCCATCCAATGTGGTGTGCTACTCCTAGTATATCAGTGGTATAGAGTTTGAAATGTCGCATGCCACAAATACTGCCCCATGCTCCAGGAATTCTAAAATTTTGAAAGGGGTGATGCGGCTGGAGTTAAACTTTTAAACTGGATGGTGACTTTGAGGTCCGAAGGCATCTCTGAGGCTGGTTGATCTCTTTTGAGATTCATGTATGAGTTTCTTGGTCATGACCAGTTAATGAGCTTATATGGAGTCAGAGATAGTTCATGGGTGTAATTGCCAGGCTTCCAGAAGAACAGGGAGGTGAGGGGAGGAAGCCCATCCCTGACTCGGTGAGAATCTGGGAATTTCAGTCACAAAACCTGCATACGTGGGTTTTTTAACACATTCTTTTCTGGATAAAGCTCATCCTGAGCCTGTGGAGTCCAGCAGTGAGCATGGCAGTGATTGGAGTGTGGAGGATTTTGGCTGCCAGGGCTCTATTCGTGTGGCTGGTGGACTCACCTGCTCCACTCTGGAGTGTCCCAGATGAGACTCAGCCTGGCATGGGGTCCAGAAGCATTTCTGCAGCTTCACTCAATTTTATTCTTAAGAGAAAAAACAAAGAAACGAAACAGGCCACCTATTCACATAAATTTTGCTGTTGTGTAGGTTTGCAGGAGATGGAATCTCGGCTCTTGGTTCCTGGAGATATTCTTGTCCTTCCAGGAAAATTATCATTGCCATGTGATGCTATTTTGATTGATGGGAGCTGCGTGGTGAATGAAGGCATGCTTACAGGTAGGCATTTGTCACGGACCAACTATCTAACAAGGCTTCTCTATCAAATATGAGCCAAATATTAGAAAAGTAGATGAACCTATACTTGCTGCTTTATACCAGGCACATGAGGAAATGGATGCGAAAGATACAACAGGTATTCATGCAGATGAAACATTATATATGCAAATAATTCTCCTTTTATGAAAATACTCATTTAACTAGTGTGAAAACACAATGAGCGCAAAGCTAAAAGAAAGTCTAATACAGGACATAGTTATTTGCTAGGTGACATAGTTATTTGCTAGGTGAGTGGGGTGCTGAGAGTTTAGTGGAAGGCAAAAATATTTTATAACATTATTGTTTGAAAATATACACATCCAAACAAAATCATGTAAGGCACCAACTCACATTGCTGGTATAACATAAAGATTTCATCTAGTTCTATGCTCATTCAATGGAAAACTGAGCCCCAAGTTTTCCTGGAAAAGAGAATGAGTTGGACCTTCATGCAAAGGAATTATAACAAATATGTTCTTTAGAATCATCTCTCCAATTAATTTTACTCACCAGAAAATCAGTTTTTTATTTATGGTGTGAAACATCCTTACAACATTAAAAATATAATATAGGCAACAACACAAAGCACAATATATTGGGGCCAGACAGATACTATAGCTGCGAAAAGAGGCCTACCCTTTTTCAGGGATTGACGTGAGAACCATTTCTCCCTTTCGGTAGGGTATTTTCATTTTGACCACTGTTTTGTTTTCTTTTGTTTTTACAGAGATAAGAAGGGTGCTTGCTTTGCTCACAGGTGTTTCAGGTTAAATCCCTGGCACTGCAAATGGTCCCCCAAGTCTTAACAGAAGTGATCACTGAGCACTAAGCCAGCAGTAAGCCCTGAGCACAGTAGAATATGGCCCCAAAGCAAAAGCAAACCAACAAAACACACACACAATAGTAAAGAGAGAATATTACATAACATCATACACATACAAATAGAAACTACTTAACAGTTTTCTCTTATGCTTACAGACTGTTGCATTTTTGTTTCCAAACAGTGAAACACACATATACATACACACACATACACACACAGAGTTTTTAACATCACCTAAATGTAAAGGAAGTCATAATCTATTCCTAAATTGTTCAACACAGATTTCACATTAAAAATGAGCCTTCTTAATTTAAAATTGAGACGAGAAAATGGGGTAAACATAAATATGCTCAGTATAATTACAAAATACCCCTTTAATGTGTTGAAATCTAACTGCCTTATAATGGTAGTGATGAGGATTTGCATGTTGATCATATCTTTTATTCAGAATGTTGCCATAGTACCCAATGTGCAAAATATAAGCCCCAGAAATACTGGCCTCTTTATTCAAAGACAGCAACTGTCTTGCATTTCCAAGCAGCCTGAGACTAAATAGTAATTTCTCTCAGTGGCAGCGAGAGCACGGCTATGAAGACCTATGTGAAGGACAGTCCACAAGGGTCAGTGCATTGGGTCTTGGACTCTAATGCACAGTCTTGTTTTCATTTTCAGAAATACCTGGAGAATTCCAGAGAGCTGGAAATGCTGAACAATGCTGACTTTCTACAAATGGCAGTATTAACTTGGATCTATTCCTCTAAAAATAATCTCCCAGCCTTACCAGGTCACTGCTCCACACCCACTACGAAGTGCCAATGTCTCTTCACTCCTGTCCATAGATCTCTAATCACCTGCCACCCCTGTTCATACCTTGCTTGGCAGACTCCACTCTGTAAGCAGAACTTCAGACTGATTTTGCCAACCATTATCCATTCCCCTTTGTTTTATTATATTCTAATGATGAGACCATGTTATTCTATCTTCTAACTCACTACACTGTGAATGAGACATTCAAGTTTTAAGTTGAGGCAAAATAGACAGGATTTCAACACAGATTTCACATTAAAAATGAGCCTTCTTAATTTAAAATTGAGACGAGAAAATGGGGTAAACATAAATATGCTCAGTATAATTACAAAATAATTTTTTATTATTTTTAAATATAAATAATAATATAAGTTATTAGTATTTATATTATTATAAATAATAATATAATAATATATTATTTTATAATTATTATAAAATAATAATTAGGCACAGTGATTTTCAAAGGTGTAAACAATAGAGTTTCTGACATATATTGTTGCCCACTCCAGACCCAGCCCGAGTGACTATGTCCCTCTACCAGTAACCCAGGTTCCCTCTCACACCCCAACCTGTCTCCTTGGCAGACACAGTTTCTAAGCTGAATTATTAAGTTTGAGTTCTGTGTATGTTGGGGATGTTCATTTGTACATATACAGATACCTTGCCTGTAGCCCACAGATGATTCCAAGACCCTTATGTCTTTTCCCTATACTATTTCCAGACTGTCTCTTTTCACATACACCCTCCACTTCTCTCCTCTGGCATCTTCATTCATGTAAGAATTTTTATCTTTTCTTACAACTGAGTAATATTCTATCGTGTATGTGAGTCACACACTTTTTAAAAATTTTTATTAGAGAAACACCATGAGGTACAGTTGTAGACTTACAAATTTTTGTGCTTGGGTTTAAGTTATACAATGATTGAGTACCCATCACTCCACCAGTGCCCATTCCCCACCTCCAATGCTCCCAGCATCCCTCCAGTCCCCACCCCCTCATCTCACCCCACCCCTGTGGCAGGACATTCCCTTTTGTTCTCATTCTCCTTTTGGGTGCTGTGGTTTGCAAAAGAGGCATTGAGTGGCTATCATGTTTGGTCTATAGTCTATTTTCAGCATGTATCTCTCATCCTGCGAGGGTCCTCCCAACACCCTTTACTTGGTGTTTCCCTCTCTATCTGAGCTGCCTTCTCCCTCAGTATGTGTGGCTGGCCTCCAAGCCATGTTAGTCTCCCAATTTGTTACTTTATATTCCCCAGATGAATGCAATCTTTCCATGTCTGTCCCCCTGTTTCTGACTCATTTCGCTTAGCATATGTAGTACCACTTGTATGTAAAGTTTATGTCTTTATCTTTTCTAACAGCTGCATAGTACTCCATTGTGTAGATGTACCAAAGTTTCTTTAACCAGTCATCAGTTCTTGGGCACTCAGGTTTTTTCCAGATTTTGGCTATTGTGAATAGTGCAGCAATGAACATAGAAGTGAAGATGTCATTTTGACTGTGCTTTTTTGCCTCTCTGGGATATATTCCCAGGAGTGATATTGCTGGGTCAAATGGGAGTTCAATTTTTAATTTTTTGAGAATCGTCCATACTGTATTCCAAAAGGGCTGAACCAGTCAGCATTCCCACTAGCAGTAAAGGAGAGTCCCTTTCTCGCCACATCCACACCAACACTGATTGCTTTTGTTCTTTTGGATGTGGGCCAATCTCTGTGGTGTGAGATGATATCTCATTGTTGTTTTGATCTGCATCTCCCTGATGATTAGTGATGTAGAACATTTTCTCATGTGCCTTTTAGCCATTCATATTTCTTCTTTGGGAAAGTTTCTGTTCATTTCATCACCCCATTTTTTGATGGGGTTAGATGTTTTCTTTTTGTAGAGTTCAACCAGTGCTTTGTATGTCCTTGATATCAACCCTTTATCAGATGGGTATTGGGTAAATATCCTTTCCCATTCTGTAGATTGTCTTTGTATTCTGGTTATTGTATCTTTTGAGGTGCAGAAGCTTCTTAATTTAAGATAGTCCCATTTGTTTATCTCTATTTTCCACTTGGTTGGTCAGTGGAGTGTCATCTTTGAAGATACTATTAGCCTCAATATCCTGGAGGGTTTTGCCGAGCTTGTCTTCAATGTATCTTATAGATTTTGGCCTGATGTTGAGATCTTTAATCCATTTTGATCTAACTTTTGTGCATGGTGTTAGGTTGAGGTCTAAGCCCATTTTTTCGCATGTGGTTGTTCAGTTATGCCAGCACCATTTGTTGAAGAGGTTTTCCTTGTTTCACTTCATACTTCTTGATGCCTTATCAAAGATTAGATGTTCATACATTTGCGGTTGTGTGTACGGATATTCCAACCAGTTCCATTGGTCTGTGGCCCTGGCTTTGTTCCAGTACCATGCTGTTTTAATTATTACTGATTTGTAGTAGAGTTTGAGATTAGGGAGGATAATCCCTCCCCATGTCTTTTTCCCAAGAATTGCTTTGGCTATTCGTAGGCATTTGTTGTTCCATATGAATTTCAGGAGTGCTTGATTTATTTCTTTGAAGAATTTCATGGGTAATCTTATAGGGATCATGTTGAATCTGTATAATGCTTTCGGGAGTATTGCCATTTTGATGATTTTGATTCTTTCTATCCATGAGCAGGGAATGTGTTTCCATTTTTTCATGTCCTCTTTTATTTCATGGAGTAGCATCTTGTAGTTTTCTTTGTAGAGATCCTTTACCTCTTTAGTTAGACTGATTCCGAGGTATTTGATTTTCTGGGGCACAATTGTGAATGGGATTATTTTTTTCATTTAACTTTCCACTCTCTTATTATTTGCATGTAGGAAGGCCATGGATTTTGGGGCATTGATTTTATAGCCTGCGACTTTACTGTACAAGGCTATTATTTCTAGGAGTTTCTTGGTAGAGGATTTAGGATTCTTGAGATATAATATCATATCATCTGCAAATAGTGAGAGCTTGATTTCTTCCTTTCCTATCTGGATACCTTTAATGTCTTTTTCCCGCCTAATTGCTATTGCAAGTACTTCCAGTACTATGTTAAACAGAAGTGTGATAGTGGGCATCCTTGTCTTGCCCCTGATCTTAGAGGAAAGGCCCTTAGTTTTTCCCCATTGAGGATAATGCTTGCCATGGGTTTGTTGTAGATGGCTTTGACTTTTTGAGGAAAGTTCCTTCAAAACCCATTTTGGTGAGAGTTTTCACCATAAACGGGTGCTGTATCCTGTCAAAAGCTTTCTCTGCATCTATTGATATGATCATATGGTTTTTTTTTATTTGAATTTTATTTTATTTTTTTTATCATTTTTTTTTA